TAGAGCCGTTAATTACTTGTTGATCTTGGTTAGACGACTAGGGTTAGCAATCTAATGCTCGTAGCTCGTTTATTCCGTATGTCGATTGATTATCATCCCGTTATGGTTATGACATGAGATTCCGGTAATCTAGTTAGCTAATTGCTCGTCTTTTCATCTTGCTTTTAATTAAATGCTCGTTTTAAGTGCTCGTCTAGTGATAATCAAACCCCCAATCTATTGCTTAGAATGTTTAGGATTTTATTTTCGATTTTTGTGATTTGGACGATCATATAGTAGACGAAGCTCCGAATAGCCTTCCTTCGAGATCGACCCGAGTCGGGTAACTCGGTTATCCTTTGCCCATCATTTTTATACTAAACAAAATGGCGCCGTTGCCGGGGAGAGCAAGTAGGATGCCAAATTTGCTATTTGATTGTTCCTTTTTCTTGTGTTTCTCTTGTTTCGTGTGATTTTGTTTAATTTCCGTATTTCGCTTTATTTCTCTTGATTCTCTAGGTAATTTTTGTTTTAGTTTGTGTTTTCAATTTCGATTTTTCCTTGCTTCCCATTGGTGCGTTCACGGGTATAGTTTGTGGTTTTGTTTATGCAAGGTATATGAAGAGGAAGACCCCGAAAGGAGCCACCCCCATTCGATCTCTTTGTTGAGCTTAATATCGAAGAACCTCAATTGCAACCCGAACCCGAACCCGAACCGATGGCGGGACAAGAGAATCAATTGCCACCACCACCTCCCCCGAACATGAGATATTTTGCACGGCCTATCATCGGAGACAACACTTCATGTCTCGTGCTCGGGGAGGCGGCCCGAAACTATGATCTCAAGACCATCCACCTAAACCAACTCCCATCATTCTACGGCCTAGCCCAAGAGGATGCTCTCAATTTCATTCGAGACTTCTATGCAACCGTCAACACATTTCCACTCCAAGGCCTAACCGAGAATCAACTCCGAATGAGGTGCTTCCCATATACCTTGAAAGATCGAGCCAAGACTTGGTTCATGACATTGCTTCCGAGCTCGCTCAACACGTGGGAAGCTGTCTACGAAAAGATCATGAGCAAGTACTACTCTCATCAAAAGACCACCGACCTCCGGACTCAAATGGCGAGCTTTAGCCAAAACATCGGTGAGACTTTCCACGAGGCTTGGGAACGATTCAAGGGCTATCAACTCCAATGCCCACATCATCACTTTTGCCTTGGCGTGCTCAATCAATTTTTCTATGACGGTCTCCACCAAACCCTCCAATACATGGTCGATCATGCGGCCGGTGGAGACATAGGGAGCCATACGGAGGAGGAAATCTACAATTTGTATGAGATGTTGAGCGAAAATTCGCAAAGAAAGAGCGTTCGTAAGAGGGCCCCCGTGAATGAGGCTACACCATCAATCGGGTCCTCGAACGATGCCGTTCTTGCTAAGCTTGCCTCGTTAGAAGAAGAGCTCAAACAACTTCGCCTAAGGGATGCAAAATCGACACAAGTTGTGATGGCCGAGGTGTGCGGTTGTTGTGGAGAGGCCGGCCACGAAGGACATGCGTGCCCGAATTATACGATGCCGGCCTACGATCCAAATCTTGAAGGGGTCCCTTATGACATCAATGCCATTCAAGGGTACGTACCCCGGGTCCAAAATGATCCGTACTCGAACACTTATAATTCCGGGTGGCGAAACCACCCTAACTTTTCTTGGAAGGACCCGAAAGCCACCTACCCACCTCAACCGGCACCACAACAAGCTTACTCCCAACCTCAACAATATGCTCAACCGAACAACCGACCACCGTTCCAATTACGACCCGAATTCCAAGGCTATCAACCGAGGCCCGAGTTCCAAGGGTATCCACAAGGGCGTGGAGGCTTCATTCCGAGGCAACCTTTGCCGCCTCCACCCGAGCCCGAAAGAAATGCTAACGGAGAATCCTCGGAGACTTGGATCGAGAGCTTGGAGAAGTGTTTTCAATCA